ACAGCATATGTCATTCCATTTTCTGTTACGCGCGCGCTTTGATTAAGCTCAATAAATTATGTTCGCTCATTTTATTTATGCGCGCATTTCATACTAGAGATTCTTGAGGTTGTAATTTTCAGAAGATTGACATCCGAAACTGTTTCTTACTCAATCAGCTCAACTCAATGAAGACTAATAGACCAAGCAGAAATGATATGATATGTTAAATGACAAGGTGAATCTAGTTGGTATAAGAGCTAGCTGAGATAGTCAAGGTCAAACTTAGGAGTCGCATCAATAACACTACTCATATAGATCACTTGCGTGGAGAATGTTAGTTCTTAGTAGTTTTAGTCTATCTCACTCTCGTGAATAGAACACTATCGCTTCTCATTTTATCTGACCTCCTTCCACTGTGCTAATTCCCTTGTCTTGTCAACAGTCAAACAGCTATAGAAGGCCTCCCAATTTAATATGATAAATGATAAATAGTTCGCATATATATAGGCTAGTGAGGGGAGATCTGAATAGTACAGAGAATTCAAACCACTTCAAACATTTCTCAAAGTATCTCTGTACTGTTGAATACCTGTGGAAAGTTGTGCGAGGGCCGCCTCAACACCATCAATAGCTGTTGGGCAGTTGGTAAAATTATGTGGCTTTTTATGTTGCCTGGCGCTCCTCCGCTTCGGTCACTACACGCAGTTCCGGGGGGTATGAGACTAGTCTAGTAGCCACTTCTGACGATGAAGCCAGTGGGACTCGCAGTAGGTTTTCGGCATCTGGTGCCTTGTTGGTTCTTGTCTTAACCCCTTTTGAGCGCCTCACTTTTACAGATTGCGGTAGTGCTGGGACTGTGGCGCGCTTTTCGGGTGCGGCGACGGTTTTACTGTAAGTATCTGCGGGCTTTGGGGTTAGTTCCGCGTCTTTTGGGCTGGAGGAAGCCCATTTCGAGTCTGAGAGGGTTTTTAACTTCTCGACTTCAGCATCCACCATCTCTACCTCGGGGACATAGTTGTCCTTCACATGGAGTGCGGCCGCAATGGCATTCATATTTTTCTCACTAATATTGAGTCCTCTGCATGTTAGCTTTGTTTTGGCGTGATCTCGTATTGCGCCGTTCAACTTGTATGGTTTGTTGACGCAATCTTTGGTGATGCTGCTGATCGCGTTTTGGTGCGTTTTACGCGTCGGTAGCATTTTAAAATGCCGCCAATGGCAAACAATTATAATTCGATTCGATAATCAATGGGTGAGATGGATAAAAGAGTGGGAGTGGGCAAATTGGGGCTCCTCAAATTGTTTTTTTTCTAATATTTGTTTGTTGGGGCTCCAAAGCTTGACTTAGGTCCCTACTTCCTACTAAGCTAACTTCAGGCAAAGACGCAAGTGCTTACTGCCTTGGTGGCTTCGTCCTTGCTATTTCTCAACTAGGAGTGCAAGGTAATTTTCTAATCACATGATAACGTGTAGCATGGCACCTACACTTTTATAGCTAGCTGCCGAGGGTCTATGCTTCTTTGATGTTTTAAACTCATTCCCGGAATTTTACTAGTAGGTCCATTCAGAAATACCAAACCATCTGTCCATAATGCAAGGCTCTATGTACTACGTATTATAGCTGCATTTTGTCTTCGTTCAATTCTCCCTTGCTAGTGAGAACTCCAAAGATACGTTTTGTTTGTAGACGCTTTGCTGCTCTACCAGAGAGAGATTGAGCGGACTTTTTAGCAACTAATTTAGTGCCCCTGTTAAAGGCAGCAGGCGCTCCCGTGAGAATCGAATTTGCACTGCTACTTGGTGCTGCGTTATAATTTTTGTTGGTTTAACGCACCCTGCTTCGGCCTGGGCACATAGTCGAGCTTCTGCACAGATTTTCTAGATAACGCTTATTTATGACTTGGTGATAGTTGGTCCCATGCCTTAGGGGCGGAGGATACAATTCGGGTCGTTTGTAGCCAGAGGGCCCTAGCAGTAAATATAGTGTGGCAGGTAGATATGCTCTCTGTTAGCCGCACACATGTTGCCATGGGTCTCTTTTGTGTGCTGATGTGATGGCAAATATCCATATAGTAATGAACACATACTGCTGCAAATAGTGAGATAGATTTACCATTGGGCCAACTGGCCTAAAAAGGCACAATATTAGATCTACAGATCTAATAGCTATCTTACTATATATTTGGAATATCCAACATGACACTTTCGTCACAGCTGATTGGAGCTGTAGAGGCTACATTGTTGCGTCGCCGAGCAAGCGCAACTGCTATGCCATAGCCGGCATCTAGAGCATTGGACAGTAGAGAAGCGTCGAGGAAGTAGACGAACAGATTTTCTGCAACCAAATAGATAGAGGACGCGAGGCAGCCGATTGTGTGTCTCAGGGAAGCGTGCAATCCAGGTAGTAGAGGCGAATTTTGGGTTCTGGGTATTTTCTTGAGACTCCTGGATGGCTAGAGGTGCGGTAGCTACTGCGGCCTCTAAAGCGGAAGAGAGAGCCTCAATAGAGATTGTCGTTGGCCTGTCCGACAATTCGGGGAACATTTTCGATCCTTTATGATGTCCATGGGGACGCTTTTTCTAGCAGAGCTTTCCCAAAGAGACCTGTGGCGTTGATCTTTTTTACGAGAGTATCTGTCTTGCTAACACGGGGTCAGAGAGCAAAGGCTGAGTTGGTTGGAAGGAAATTTTTGTGGAGTTTTCCATATTTTCCCAATTTCGATTTCATGTGAGACAGAAGAGCATAGTTTGAGGAGAAGCGGAGTGAACAATTAGGGGGTGGGTGGAGGAAGAGTCTGTCATATTTACTCCTCTCCGCTGGCTTATTCTGTGGTGTCTTTACAGGACCCTCAAGATTATTCCTCGGGATTTAAACGTTTGATGTCTAAGTGCACTTGGCGCAGAATTAGACATTTGCATAAGTGTTGTAAGTTTATAGATTACCTGATTCTGGGGCAGAGAGCTTGAGTTTCGATGGTGCTGCCATACGTTCATAGGCGTTGAAGTACCTGGATACCACGAGTGCTAGTTCTGAGATTCAGGCATGGAGGGTGCGCTCTTGTTTGGAGGGGAGCTTTCCTTCGGAAATTGTGGCGCTGTGTTTGTCAAAGAGAGACGCTAAAGAGTTTAATAAAGCTTTACCCTCAACAGCACGTTCTACTGCAACCTGATCACAATCGGTCGGCGACTGCTAGATTCACCCCATGGCTCTGGCGCAAGTTTGATGGTGGTCATAATCCAGAAAATTGGTAGAGCATGAAGCTTGGGGGCGGGGCTCTTCTAAACCGACATCAGGACTAAATCCGAAGACATAGTAATCCTTCTGATGCATTCGAAGAGGCCGGCCAGCTGGGCGCTGCAGACTTGTGGGTACCTCGGGAAATTCACACTCTGCCTTTCTAACCTCCTTACAACTCCTTCCCGAAGGTCGTGCTAAAATGTCAGAAAAGTCTTGACAGAGAGTAATTGCTGTATGGTAGCTTAGCCTAGCTTCTTTTGTGCCGTTCAGGGCGCTGGGGAGTGCCGTTGACTCATCGACAATAGAAGCCCTCCTGGCTAATTAGCCAAAGTCTTGGTCTTGGCGCCCACAAAAAATCCAAAGTTGAAAACTCCTCGAAAATATCGGTCTGAGCATGGTCTTCAGAGACCTCTTTCACCTCTCGCTCCACATCTCAGGCGCCTGTTCTTCCTCAAGTTGTTTGTCTCATTCGAGCAACAGTCCCCCATAAGCCAAGACCCAGGCTTTGTATTTTTCGACTTGATTTCCTCCTTGCGGGTGTAAATATCGTCGTAAATTTGTAGTGGGTGATGGTCGGTAATTGATGGGTCAAGCTCTCATATGAAATTAGAGCAACCCCTTTAACGGTTTTTGAGGCGAAATGATGTGTGGTTAGAAGAGGCTGAGGACTCAGGAGATAATGGTGAGTGCTGCATGATTGAGAAGTCGTCAAATGGAGATATAGATGTATTTGCTTTCAACTTCGATTCGGATGCGATTCTTCTTGGCTATCCTAGATATGTAAAGCATACTGAGCGATAACACCGGCGTCACTGGAAGGTGAAGAATTCGTCTTTGCCTGCTAGGAAATGAAATAGGACGGGTATAAGATTGTGGTTCATACAGGAGACACGATCGGTACACATGGATGGCATTTTAGTGTAATTGTGCTTACAGAATGATATAACGCAAATTTCAAGAAGTAAATCGGAAAGTAGGAGAGTATTTCACTGAGAGTGATCCTTTTGTGTAAATGAGAAGATAGGGCTATAGCCACCTAAATGGGCCCGGGGGCACCAAATTAGGTTATATGAAATCAAATCATATGTAATTTGGCATATTTCCCTATACAAATATTCACAAATCTAATTTACAAGTAGTTTGGAATTATTCTAATGGAATGCGCAATTTTTGAGAGAAACCTTCAAGTAGTCTGACTTTAAAAGGAAATATTCCGTTCATCCAGCAATAGTACATGCAAACTTTAGCCATACAGAGAGAAGCAGTAAATGAGCTTGTTAGAGTTCGTCGTAAAACATTATCAGCTTATAGTTTTTTCCGAAGACTAGGGTGATCCTAGGAGTGCCGAGTATCCATTCATACGGGTAGTTGTTGTTCATAACTTGATGATTCTTCCCTAGCCAGATTTGACTCAGTGGACTTTGTTATCACCAACTCAGTTTATAGTACATTATAGACATATGAGCGCTAGCTACTACCATCTGAAGAACTGAGGATATATCAGGGAATTCGTATTACCATATGTGTATGGATTCTACCTTTTTACCAAGAAGGTTTGTAAGTCACAGAGTCAACCGTCGAGGTCAAATTTGAAGAAGATCAAGTAGTTTTGATGAGAATTCAAGTTTTATGACATGCGTTGTATATAGGATTTCCCGTTCCGATGTTAAGAGCATAAAATATCCCTTGAAATTCCGAATTTGAGTCAAACCCAATTGCATAAACGTATTCGAAATCTGAGATTCTCATGTTAGCAAGAGAAATTATAGCCTTGAAGGTTTTATTTACTCCATGTACTTGATTCCGGAAGTCTTAGTGGCCAGAGCCGTAGGCTTTCATTTTGTAAAATGGGATAATTGATACCGTCAGGAAACGTAGCGTATCGCACCTGATCCCGTGCAAAGTTTACTTGGAGTTGTAAAGTTGATGCCTTAATATACATGTTTTTACACTTGAAATGGTAATTATCCATCAATTTGACTGCACGAATGATTGCGGATGATGATTTACGCGTAGTTCTTGGTGGTAACAATGACCATACTTTTGAGCATCGTTTATCATCGTGTCCACTGCTTACAACTGCTTTGATTACAACTTCCTTGTCTTCTTGAAGGTAAAAAATAACACGATGCGTTTTGACTGGACCTAGATACATAGTTTAAGTTAATTGAAACAGTTATTCCGGAATGAGTGCATACCTGAAGGGTGACCCTTAGTATTCAATTTACGGAGAGGGTATCCATAGAGTGTAAGATTTGGATCGTGCTTATCAGTAAAAGAAGAAAATTTAGTTGGAGTCGAGGCAGCTTTTTTTCCATTTCCAGGCCCATATTTTTTTATCATATTTACAGTGTAGAGATAAGCTTTTTCATCTAAAAATTCTCCGTCACATATGAAACCAAGAGTTTTATAATAATTATCCAAATACTGAATCCATAACTTAGATATATTATCATTCTTATCGGAAAACAAGTGAATGGGTTCGCATGTAGTAAATTCCTCTTGGTCGGTCTCACTTTTGGGACTGGATTTAGTCACCACCCCAAGTACATTCTTGTTTACATCAATTATGAGACGATATTTCCCTGCCGGTCCTGAGCTATAAATCAGCAACACTCGTTAAGTTCAAGCTGAGGTTGAGAATTGAAATGTACCTGATTTGATTGAGGTTAGACTTTCGAGAATGGGCCACGAGAGAAGGGTCTGTGCTTCATTACTGAAAAGATAAAAGTCCTCAAATAGCGCGGGGTATTTATCGATAAATGCTCGCCGTAAATACCTTGCGTAAGCTTCGTCAGCCTCTTCTCGTAAATCTCCCATGTGGATTATTCTATTATCGCAGATGAATCCGCTTATTAAATGAAAATTTCCCCCTTGTTCGGGGTAAGCGGAAACTGCATTCTGGTATAGACCAGATGCTGCGATAAAGAAGCCGAATCTTTTTCTCATTTCTCATCAAGTGGAAGTTGAAAAAGATTATTCCCTAGTATTTCTAGGGCATAGATATAAGAATACTTCCAATCTTACTTCGGTCAAAGAGAAGAGATGGTGCTTTACTCAAATATCTGGATATATCAAAATCGATAGCATCACACACAACGGATTATAGCTGATAACAATAAAAGAAAATAGAGTAATTAGATTTCATGAATAAATGGTCGGAAGATTGTGAGAGTCAATTCAGACTAAAAGATGTGTCATAGGTAGAGACTTAAATACATTGTGAAATTTTTAGGAAAAGGATGATACAGAAATTATTTATTTTACCGAAGATGACATATGGGACTTGGTAAGAGGATTAAATTTTACTGTAGTCTAGAATATAACTTGATCCTCTTCATTTCCGAAATTTAAAATGCTATTCTCTTTTACTCATTTGGTTTAAGAACGTGACATCGCCAAAAGACTACATGGGTGGTGAAAATTCATCTGAAAAGGAAGATATAAGAGTCGGGCGACTTGTGATGGCTATATCCCACTACAGCAAACGTAAGTAATATGGGGTATATACTAATGGAAATCTAGACTTAGTTTATCTGAAGGTTTAGATTTCTAGGTATGATCATCAAGATCAATTCGATTGATCCGATTGCATACAGTTAAGCTTAGCAGGGCGACATGAGGTTCAGTGGTATCTGAAATGTTGTGCCTAGGAAATCCTACCTTGCGGTAATTAAGTGACTGATTGTTGCTAGATCACTTGGAGTTTGGGATCACTAAAGCCTCAGGGATCTGTATTTAATGATAGACTTACTTGTTCATGTTAAATCAAGTTAACGGAGTATTACATATTATTAATTCATATTGAGTAGAGAGTTTGATAGCATATACAACTGTCAATAAATTCTTGTCCGAAATTGTACACTTGCTCTTCGAGATATTTCCTCCTAAAAGTCCTTGACAATTTGTAACATATACAAGGCAAACTGCTACTCAAAAGAGACGAGATAATTGCCAACCTTTCGTGACCACTGCTATTACCTCTAGTTCATCACTTGTAGCAAGCGCAATATATCTATCCGAACTACATACCATCAAATAAAAAACGCGATTATCCTAGTTGGGGCTGTAAAGGTTTCTTTCTGACGGTTGAGACTTCAACACTGCCAAGAGATGGAGTGAATCGCGCATCAGACGCGTGATAGCATGTGACCATACGATACCGCAATCCACTACATCCCATGACAAACACCATTTATAGGTGCCTCCAGACCTCCTCGAGCTCCAGCATTTTCAAGGGACCCAAAGAAATTTTTGCTAGGAACCTGGGAAGGGGCCCTATGTGTAGCAAAGTTGCTTTCTATTTCAGAGTTTTACATAAAGACCTGCCCTAGAAACCACAGAGAAGAAATAAATAGGTCTTCAACTCTGCCCCAACTCTGAGCCTTGCATTATGGAAAGATGGTGCGGTATTTATGAATGGATCTAGTAGCAGTATCTCGAGAGTGGTTGTTATACATCAAATGAGTAAAGAGCCTCGGGGACTGGCTGAAAAAGTGCAGGTGCTATGCTACACGCAATCATGTAATTAGAGTATTGCCCTGCAAACCTAGTTAGGGGGTAATGGCACACAAATCTGAGAGACAGTTCTTTGGGATGGACGTGAGAGGGATCAGGACATGTTTACAAGATGCAAAAGAAGGATATAACCTTGAAGGGAGTGGAATTCCGAATTTTGGCAAGCGGTTTTACGAATTGGGCTTTGTGCGCGCCAAGACTTCGCTTGTGAGAGTGCAGTTGACTATAAAAACAAGCAAACGATCATTATTATTAACTCATTTTATTGTCCAGTCTGAGTCTATGAATATGTAGGACATGCAGGTCCTCTCTGCCTACAGGCCAAGGATACCTATACCAGTAGTATATCCCCTCCTATGCCTCCTATATAGCTCCCCTCAAACAGTACCACCCCTGACAAGTCCTCATTCGATCATACACTTAGAGGAGCCCTTTGCCCTTCATTATCTCCTCTCTTCAGCCATGTCAGATTGGAGTCTAGACGTTTGAGCTGGAGCGAATTCGAAGGGCTAGAAGATGTTAAATGGACGGCGAAAGATGACTGAAGGTATACTAGAGATAATATTGAGGAAATCGAGGGTTGAAAGATGGTTAATCTAAGTATTTATAAGGTCTAAAGGTTCGAGAGGGTACTAATGATAACTAAAGGTACTAGAGGTAACTAGAGGCGACTATAGGTGACCAGAGGTGATCCGAAGGTGGTGGTTATGACAGAAGACTAAGCGTAAAGAACTCTATGTCTACAGACCAAACCATTGTATATATACCTGCCCTCCTTTCACTAGCTCATCCTAACATAGACCTTAACATAATATCAACATGATACCATGTGCCAAGAACTGTCCTGTTGTCATAGCAACATATGAAGAAAGGTAAAATTATATCCTATAGAAAGGATCGGAAGAGGAATCCTTACAAGCCAACTAAACAATGGCCATTTGCGGGTGTATGGCAGCCGGGAAAAATCGCAAAAAACTACTGGGTGCGGAGCTCTCCTAATACCGACATCAGGACTAAATCCGAAGACATAGTAATCCTTCTGATGCGTTCGAAGAGGCCGGCCAGCTGGGCGCTGCAGACTTGTGGGTACCTCGGGAAATTCACACTCTGCCTTTCTAACCTCCTTACAACTCCTTCCCGAAGGTCGTGCTAAAATGTCAGAAAAGTCTTGACAGAGAGTAATTGCTGTATGGTAGCTTAGCCTAGCTTCTTTTGTGCCGTTCAGGGCGCTGGGGAGTGCCGTTGACTCATCGACAATAGAAGCCCTCCTGGCTAATTAGCCAAAGTCTTGGTCTTGGCGCCCACAAAAAATCCAAAGTTGAAAACTCCTCGAAAATGTCAGTCCCAGTGTGGTCTTCAGAGACTTCTTTCCCCTCTCACTCCACATATCAGCCGCCTGTCCTTCCTCAAGATGTGAAGCCCCATTAGAGCAGCAGTCCCCCATAAACCAAGACCCCAACTTTGTATATTCTGACTTAATTTCCTCCTTGCAGGTATAAATAGCGTCGTAAATTTGTGGTGAGTGATGGCCGGCGATGAATGAGGCAAGCTCCTGATTGAAATTGGGGTGACGCCTTTATCGGTCGGCGAGGCGAGATGATATGTGTTTAGATAGTGGTTGACGACTCAGAAGTTAATGGTGAGTGCTGCATGGTTGAGAAGTCGTCAAATGGAGATATGCATGTGTTTGCTTCCGACTTTGATTCGGATGCGATTCTTCTTGGCTATCCCAGATATGCAGAGCATACTGAGCGATTACACCGGCACCACTGGAAGGTGAAGAATTCGTCTTTGCCGGCACAAGCAAACGATGGAAGGTGTTGTGGTCCGCCTCCTGGTGGTGTTCTCCGGTATGGTTTGAGTAGCCTGGGCACCTACTCCACTTGGGAAGGAGATATCTCAGACCATATTTCGCGCGGAGAAAAGTTGAAAGATGATGGAGGCATGTCTGGATAACTCAGGGTTTTTGAGATGTTCCCCTGGGTGGGTATTCACGGATGAGTGTTGACTTGGGGTGAAGAAAAAGCCACCATAACTTCGCAGTGGTACTTGCAAATGAAATCTGAGGCATGAGTGCTCTACTTTTAAATTGAATCATCTATTCTGTACTTTTCTTTGATATTGTGTAATAGCTAGATAGCTGCATACGCGATTAAAATCTGATACAATAAAAAAAAAGTTAGGAGGTACTATGGGTTGGATGGTGCAGTGGTACGCCATCCGGGCCGTTCACCCAAGTAGATACCGGATAGCTTGAACACCTACTCCATTCGAGACAGGAGAAAGCTGGTTCGAATCCAGTCAGACCCTCACTCCACCCTCTTTCTCGGTGATATTGTGCTTGTGGGATGATGTAAACACACTTGGATAGCCACAGGCTTTTCACGTTTTTCCCTGTGGTGGGTATGCACGGAAGGGGTTATACGCCGTAAGGGTTAATCTCGAGTGGTATCTGCAAATGAAATCTGAGTGTGAGTGTTCTAAACGTCAAATTGAGTCATCCTACTTGAAGTACATATCTTACGATAAATACCTGCATGGGCCTCAAGGCGCCAAATCAGGATAATGAATAATTATTATTATTATAGGAGGTACTATGTGTCCTGGTCATGTGCTATTATGTAATATTAATTATAATTAGCATCATTAGGAGTTTTCGGTTGGAGGAGGGGACAATCAACTTACATCTGACTAAACGACTTACCAGGCATTCTGTGATACTAATTATAGGCGTGCTTTGTGTCACGATCCGTGAGAGCCGTATTGCGTGTGTGTGGGGATACGGGTTAGCGCGCCTTGGCATCACGTTGGATGACTGAGCACAGCCGAGGGAGATATCTTAGAGAGGGTCGACAGTAGCTACCTCCTCTCTTCGTCTTTTATTGCCTTTACAAGCGTACCTCTTGAAAGCAATATAATAACTTATACAACCTCCTTGACGTGCCGTAACACTTTGAGTCCATAGTCTATTGTAAGACAAAGACGCACAGTACCACGGGTGAAGCCACCAGGGCAGTAAGCACTGGCGTCCATGCCTCTAGGTAGCTTAGTGGTTAGTGGAGACCAAAGTCAAGCTTGGCGCCCCGACGGACGAAAAATAGAAAGCAAACAACCAAACCCTTCATCAAGGGATACGGCATCAAGCATGGCGGTTAAGTGCTTGATGCGGAAATTGTAGGGGCAACAAAGGCCCTGGAAGCTGCGCTGGGATTGTTGGAGAGGGAGAACAGTGGAATTGACAGCAGGCGGCGGATCAACGTGTTGTTGGATAGTCAGTCTGCAGTGAAGGCACTGCTGACGGGAACTGCCACAACAAGTCTCGACAACGTGCGACAATTTAGAGCGTTATTAGAAAAGGCTCGAGTCTCGGTTCAGTGGATAACAGCCCACTCCGGGATACAGGGAAATGAAGAGGCCGATAGAGCTGCACG